TCCGGTTTCCCTCCCTGAGGCGCCTGCCGCTGCCCCTTTTCCGGACGGTCAGACAGCCGCTCCGTGCGCTATTTTCGAACGCGCAGCTGCGGCCCCCATCCCTACGCAGAACGGGCTCTGCTCTCCTCCGCCAGCTCGCTCAGGCCGGCCTCTGAGGGTGCATGGGGCGAAGGCGACGACAGGTGGCATCGGACTTCAGAACCCACCTGAGGCCCGCCCCAGCTGCCCGCACCGGCCACCCGGGCTCATCCCTTCTGCAGCCTGCGAGGACCGCGGTTTTCTAGGCACCCGGACCTCTCAGAACCCGAGCGCAGGAAGACCAGCAGTCCCCCCGAGACGTCCTGGATCTGCCCCCTCCTGGGATTCTCTCTTCTCGGCTCACGGCTGACCTGAACTTCCAGAAGGCGACCCGAGACTCCCTGGGGTTTTATTAAACTTCAGAACCGGCATGCACCCCGGCTCACGCGGCGGCAGCTTACCCAGGACACTGAGGGGCCGCGAGCCTGCCCTTCCCCGCACCCCCCCCATCCCTGCCACAGGGCAGCTGCCTCTGGGCCGACCAGGACCGCACCGTTCTGCCCCGCCTCGCTGCCCGGCAACAGTGCCAGCCTCTCAGGTCCACGCACAGAGCGCAGTGGGGAAAGGGCTCACCCACGCTGCTCTGAAGCCCCCGCCAAAGGTCGGTGGCCCTGAGCACCTGACACCTACTCAAGTTACAAAGACTCACCTTCACTTATGGAGTCTTTTCTTTAAAAAAAATTAGCCCTGGCTGGTATGGCTCAGTGGACTGGGCAAGGGCTGCGAACCAAAGGGTCGCCGGTTCGATTCCCAGTCAGGGCACCTGCCTGGGTTGCGGGCTGGGTCCCCAGTGGGGGCCGTGTGAGATGCAATAACACACTGATACTTCCCTCTCCCTCTCTTTCTCCCTCCCTTCCCCTCTCTAAAAATAAAATAAATAAAATCTTTTTAAAAAATAAAAGAAAGTGGAAAAATTCCTGAAAGGAAAAACACCGAAATGCACACAGTAGTCGTCTGGGGGCAGGCAGACTCCGGGTGTTTCCTTTTTCTTGGTTTGCCGACCCCTGACCAACGCACACCTGCGCACCGACCGACGCAACCAGGACGCGCACTGCCGCGAGACCTCCAACTCCCCATTTCCCAGCGACTCGAGCCCCCGGGGGCCAGTGCGCCCAGCTCCTCGGGCCGGGGGGCTGCTCGGGAAGACCTCGCTGCCACAAGCCCCCCACCAGCTGCACCGGGGCACCAGAGTCCCCCAGCCAGTCCCTGCCCCCCTGGACCACACTGCACGCCAGCCCCCACCTTCAGAGCCCCGACATAAACGAAACACCTGTCGAACTGCGGGGGAGGGCGGGGCGGAGAGAGAGGCCAAGAGCAGCGCTCGAGTTTCAGAGCGGGGCGAGGGCCACGCCTGCCACTCACCGCGTGCGGGAAGATGCCACGGGAACGAGTCCAACAGAGAGGGCAGAAAGCCAAGGCCAGGCCTGTACTCGTCCAGCGGGAGATGCCTGTGAGCCATCCGTGCCCCCCCCCCCCCGGTGGGGCTGCGCAGGGGCGGCCCTGGCGGCAGACTCATGCGGCTGTCAGCGCAGGCGGGGTGGGCGTGTGTGTGTGTGAGCCTCACGTCCGGCTGGGATCTCTCAGAGGGCGACCGCGGCGGAAAGGTGCCGAGGGCCCTCTGACACGCAGAGGCACCCAGCGAGGGAGATAGGAAGGCCGGGAGAGGCCAACCGAGACGAGGACTGGGAGACGGCCGCGGGGCTGACCGCCGCTGGCAGCCAGTCAAACCCCGACTGCAGAGAAACACGCCGAGTGCTGCAGAGACGCCCCTCGGCCGGCGGCGCCCCACGCCCGCGCCGCACTGTCTCGGCGGCACTGGCTTCTCCTGGGTTTAGGCTGCGTCTGAGGTAAGTTCCCACGGAGGCAGAACTTAAGTTCTGCCCTTCATCACAGCCCCGGGGCGCGTCCACACGGCGGCTCAGTCCGTGGAACAAACGAGGGGACGGTGCAGCCCAAGGAAGGCCCAGGACCGCGCTGGGGACAGCGTCACCACCACACCGGTCTCCCGTCTGGGCTCCTGCGAGCGCGTCTGGTTCACCTGCACCTGCCAGGACCTGTGCCTGCCCAGGCCGGGCCCTTCCCGTCGCCTGCTCTGGCAGACACGGCTGTTGTCCCCCAGCGGCCCATGCGCCCCTCCCGCACGGTGGCGGTTCCGCGGGGGCCAGGACCCCAGCCCCGGCGCCCGTCCAGCATGTCCGGGGGAAGGCCACCTGCTAACGCGTGTCTCCAACGAACGCCCAGGTGGTGACGACATCACTCTGGGGGCCACAGTCGGAGGACCCTGTTCCAGGTGACCCACACAGCTGTCCTGGGTCACTTTTATTCGCCCTATTAGGAAAATCTCCCGGAAATCATAACGTAAGCTCATAGAAAATAATGTACTTTTCAAAATTTTTACAAAATTCTAAAAGATAACCGAAAGTAACATTTCAATACTTCCTAAAAACTGCTGCCGTGTGTGTTTGTATACATACATGGATACACACGTACACGGTCTTCCCCAGATTTCACAGGTAAAATGCGGTTCAGAAAGGTTGGGTGACATGCCCCAGGCCACACAGCCACAGTGCGCCAGAGCAGGGGCGGGAGCCCTGGTGCCGGACCCCAGAGTCCCCGCTCTGAAACCGCGGCGGGACGCTGCCTCTCTCTGGCGACAAGAATGTTCCAGAAGAAAGGGAGAGGGGTCTGCTTCCCGATCGCCGCACTGAGGCTGCCGCGCCACCAGAAGCTGCCGTCACCACTTGGGGCCACCAGCCCGGGCGCTCAGGCCCTCTGGAGCGTGTGGGCCGACCGACCCCTGTGGCAGCACCAGCCTGCGCCTGGTGCCCGGGAGCCCCCTCGGGCCTTGCCAGCTTGGGGGAGGGGGGGAGGGAGGAGGGGAGCGAGGGAGGGGAGGGAGCCAGAGACACGGCGCACAGGCAGGCAGGCAGGGCAGGCTGTGTGGCTCCTTCATTATTGATGGCCGAGGCCGGGCAGCCCTCGTCTCCGTCTCCGTGGTGTCGTGTTACCGCACAGGCAGCGGCGGCAATAGACCCTCGCAGCCCCAGAGCGCACCCACGCTGGCCTGCGAACACACGTGCAGAACAGACGGCAAAGAGATTCAAGCACGAGGCAAGGGATGTTAAGGGCCACGGGGAAGCTCTATTTAGTGTGATAATTACTTTCTGGAAAGTACGCATTTCTTTTAAAATATTTTAACCGCTTACCTACGTAAGTGTCCTAAGAAATTCATCACTGAGTTTTGCAAACAAATCCATCATCGCGTTTTAATTTCATCCCGTTTTAAGGAGCCTGTGCGATAAGGGATGCAAACGTAACCACATCGACCTGCCAGGGCGAGCTCCCGCGCCGGTCTGCTTTGTGAGTCCCGGGGCCCAGGCGCTCCTCCAGACGAGTCCAGGAGGAACTCCGTCTGACACGGCGTGGGCACGGCTCACGCCCCCCCGGGTGCGCAAGCCGGAACCTCGGCGCGCACCCCCTGCCTCGCCCCGCACACCACACGCCGGGGTCTCATGCGGGTGACCCTCCGAGGGGCCACGCTCCGCGACCCCACAGCTGCCACGGCGCTGAGCCGGACACCACTCTGCCTGGGGCGGGTCCCAGAGCCACGTCCGTGCCAGGGTGGCCGCACCGTTCTGCACGCGGGTCAGAGCCCTCAGGTCAGAGCCAGTCGGACACATCCCACCGCCCCACCCGGGCCCCGGGAACCCTCGCCCGGCCTCCCGGGACCCTGCTGCTGCTTCCCGCAGAACGGCAGAGCAGCAGAGCGGCAGAGCGGCAGTGGGGCCCCACGGCCGGGCCGAGCTCCAGCTCGGCCACTCGCCGGCTGCACAGGCGACTCGGCCTGCGTCTCGGTGCTGCTGTGGCACGGTGAGGGCAGTAACAGTGTGTTCCTCGTGCGGTGGTTGCGAGTTTCACGAGCACCAGAAGCCCCAGCGCTGACTCGACGCTGGCGCACAGCAGTCCCTCACTCGGCACGCGGTCCGCCCCCGGCACGGCTCACTCTCCGACACGCCCTCCCACGCCCGCCCCGGAATCCTGTCCTCCCCGACGGCAGGCTCAGCACAGGCGCCGTGTCGTCTCTCTGACCCCCGTGCAGAACACACAGGGGCAGCCGGTCCTCATGTGCTCACTGGACAATTACCACGGAGCACAAAACTGGGGGCGGGGGTGAGGTGTGGGGGCGGGGCGAGGTGTGGGTGGGCCCCGCCCCCGCCCCGCCCCCGCCCCCGCCCCGCCCCCGCCCCCACCCCGCCCCGGCCCCAGCAGACAGCACGCCATCACGACAGACAGCCGGGAGGCCGGGGCGAGAACCAGCAGCCCCGGCCTCGCTGCATCCTTGCAGGAGCCCCTCCTCGGGGAGACCAGCACGTGCCCCTGACAGCTGGCCTCTCCCTTCCACGGGAGCCAGGGGTGGGGAGACACCACAGCCCTGGCCGGGCCCTGAACCCTGCTCCTCCGCGGCCGCAGGCAGGCAGCCAGCCTCGGAGCCAGCGAGGGCAAGAGGCCCCCGTGGCCGGGCGGACGGCGGCCCTCCCGGCCAGAGCTGCCCCGGGAGGAGCATCCAGGCCCCGGGACCGGATCATGGGACGGGAGAAGGAGCATGCTTTAGTGTCCAACACAACTCGCAAAAGTGAGCAATCATCACACTTGCAACTGTAACTGGACACTGATTAGATTAAATCGTCATACATATCCGAAGGCCGGCTTTCGCAACCGAGCTCCCCTGTGGGCACGTTACAAACCGCAAGAAGTGAGAAAAGTTAAAGTCACCCACGTTCTGAAGGCAGACTTGAGTGTTAGGAACTCGGCATGCAAATTAATACAGTTTCCCCAGGTGCAAAGCCTCAAACACAGTCACTTTGGCAAGCGTCAAACATAGATGCCGCACTGCACATGTCTGCGGTTTTCGCCGTGTGTACCTTTTGCATTCTCTTTGACTCTTTCTGAGCATTCTCGCGGAGCGGTATTTTTCCAAACAACTTCCATCCCAAGTCACTGTGTCTGTCAAATCTTGCATTTTGTTTTCTAGCAAGCAAGTTCCTACAGGAGAGAAACGACACGGTTAGGGCATTCCCGGGTGCGCACAGGGGCAGCGGGGCAGCCCCGGCCCCCTCGCGCGGGCACACGCGCACGTCCCGTGAGAGGGCGCCGGGGCACGCCACACGCCGTAGCTCTTCAGGCTCGATGTTCACACGGACACAGGACTAGGCAGCAGGCAAAGGAACTTACACCTCAAATAAGCTTCCTGTCCCTCGCTGCCACCTGTACAAGCCCTTTGGTTTAAGGAAACGTGGTACACAATGACGAAGCACGCCTCCAGAAGAAGGGAGCTCCGAGGGCAGACCCCGGCGATCGGAGCTCCGGCTCGGCCCGCGCCGGCGGTGTGACTCGGACCCGCGCCGCCCCCGACCAGGGCCCCTGCAGGAGCTGAGGCCAGGGCACACTGAGGCGGTGGCGCTCGGGGAACAGCTGCGTCAGTGCGCCACCTCGGGCTCCGCGCGGACCGCCTGTGAGGTGAACCCGCATCGCCTGTTCACAGCGTCTCTGGGTGTCACGGAAAGACAGCCCCCACGGGACTGTCACCAGGTCTTCTCTCCCAGCAACACGTAGACTCGTGTCCCAAATCCCACAGACGGGTCCCCGAGGGTGGCACAGAGGAGGCTGGGCTCTGAAATGCACCGCGCCGGCGCACTCGGTAAAGACCAGAGGTCTCCAGGGCCGCCAGCGGGCCGCCGGCAGGACGCCGCGAGCAGCAGCCCGGGTGCGGAGAGGGGGAGGGTGTGCCGAGGGGCTGGGGGAGCGGCGGCGGGTGCAGGGGCTCCCACCGGCGAGGTCGGGAGCGGTGCCATCAGCACCGCAGACTATGAGAACAGGGGTGACAACCCTCGGCCCACCGCAGAGACGCACGGGCCCTCGGGAGGCAGGCAAACGGAGAGGAACCAACGGGGAGGGAGGCGAGCGGCGGAACGCCGCCCAGCGGGCACCGAAAGGCAGCGGAGTCAGGCTCTGACCGGGGCGCTGGGCCTTGAGGGGACAGCGGGAGGAGCCCCAGGAACCTCACGGTCTGGGAGTGTCTCCCGCAGGTCGCTTGTTAATCACCGCGGCAAAAACAGCCGTCCCACAGCGGGGAAGCCTCCTCGCCCGAGGGTGCGTGCTGGCGTCTCTGACATCGGGAGAGACGGCGCACGCTGCTGCCCAAAATCGCACCCCGACTCTCACCGCCCCCCGGGACACGCAGACACGCCCAGACCGAGGGACGAGCTGCGGCACGGCGAGTCCAGACTCCGCAAACCCCAGCGTCACGCGAGGCTAGGCCAGGCAGCAGGACTGCTCCAGGCTGCAAGCCAGCTAAGGAGACCCAGCTGGGAAACGCAGTGGGTGCGCCGGGACCACAGCGGGGACCACAGCGGGGACCACAGCCGGGACCACAGCGGGGACCACAGCCGGGACCACAGCCGGGGCCGTGGGGGAAGCTGGGGGATCACCAGGCAATCGGCAGAACGGGAGCGCAGAGCGTGGGCCGGAAAACAGCCGGGGCCGGCGCTAGGTCTCCTGGCCCTGAGAGCTGCGGGGTGGCGGGCCAGAGAAGGCCCTCGTTCTCGGGGCACACGGGTGCCTTCCAGGGCGAGGGGCACGGCACCTCTGACGGCTTCTTCCACTGCCCGAGGCCGTTTCTCTTCAGGGCAGTAAGCCACACCCCTAAGCGCTGGCTCCAGGAGCTGGCCGCCGGGCCCCCAGCCCAGGCCCTGCAGGACGCCCACAGCCCTCTCCTCCCCCCACAGCGATCAGGGCCCTGCCCCCCAGAGCAGAGAGGGCAGGCAGCCCTGGGGGGCCCTTGAGGCGGAAGGCCCGCGGCCGGAGGGGAGCCCGACCCCACACCCTCCTCCCCGGCACAGGCTGACGCAGTTTAAAAACCAGGGCCAACGGAGGACTGCCTGTCAGTGACAATGAAACGCTTCTGCGCCAGTCCCCTCGCATCTAGCCCCAAAACCGCGCCCGGTTTCTCTACGCGAGCCTGGGAGCGCCCGGCGGGGGGTTCAGGGAGCTCCCGCTGTGCTGGGCGGAAGCACCCGCGCCAGCAGGAGGCCGCAGGGAGCACGCGTGAGCCCGTGATGCGCCCGTGACGCGCCCCTGCGCGGGGCGTGGGTCCTCTGGAAGAGCCCAGTGACGACGGCGCGTTTCCTCGGCGGTGCAAGTACCGGGCTGGCCAAAGAGTCTGCTCGGTTTTTTCTGTGAAAGAAGCGCATTTCTCACTTCCACCAGTGACTGACTGGTTTGGATCACTTGAGTCCGTCGGCTTGCTCCTGCGCAGTGCAGCGCGACCGCTCTCGACGTCTGGTGTGACCGCTGCCAACGTCACCTGCCCTGCCCGACCGCGGGGCGGCGCCCGCGGGGGAACCTGCAGCGCGGACCTCGCACACCGCTGCTGACGCGCCTGATCAGCCATGGCACCCTCTCCGCACACCGCATGCATGTTTCTTTGCGTTTCGGCTGCTTGTTTACTTTCCCTGAAGTAATAAAGCTATTCATGATACACCAAAAATGTTGTATATTTTCTTCCATCTTCAATATTTAAATGACTGCACAAAAATTCGCCAGTTTTGTAAGTTTTCAGAAACACGCACCGGTAGGTCAGCTGTCACAGTGAGCTCCAACAGAAGTGCTGTGAGTGGGGTTAGAGACCGCCCGGCGCCACCAGAGCTGCTGTGAGGAGACAACCAGACGGACTGGTGGCCGGCCCCGCGCACCCACGGTGCCATGGGGCCTCCACACGGTCCCGAGCACACCACTGAGCAGGGGCCGTGGGGGAGCCGCCCTGCAACGTGTCCCCTCGTGAGGGCATCGCGTGTGAAGGCGTCGCATGTAAGGATGTCCCCCGTGAAGGCGTGACCCGCAGAGACCTCTGGTCCCTCCGCCCTCTCGGCCCGGTGGCCGACACCCGCGCGGCAGCTCTGCGGAGCGGACGCCTGCCCGTCGCCAGGGAAACCGGGGCAGGGTGCGAGAGGCGGTGTCCCAAGGAGGCTGGCTCAGAAGTTAGGCAAGTTCCAAGGTCACCCATGAGGGACTGGGCCCCGGGCCCCGGCGGGGCTGACGGTCGGGTGCTGGCAGCACACAGAGTCTGCCCCTGGACACGGCCCACCAGCTTCGGCAGCCCCCCCCACACACACAGGGGAAGAACACGGCGCCGGCAGCCTCCGGGCACGCAGGGCCAGCGCCGCGCCACCAGGCAAGGGCACGTGGGCTCGCCCCAGCCCCACCTTCTCCTGCCAGAGGGCAAGGCCGCGAGGAGGAGCCCGAAAGAACTCTCAGGGGGCAGAGCTGCGGGAAGCTGCAGGCTACCCCCTCGCCCCCCATGCGAGCCCCCCCAAAACCAGGCCCGCCCCACGGGCTCGGGCGTCGACCTGCCCCGAGAAAACCCCTGCGGCTCCGGCACCGCTGCCACCTGTTCGAGGGGGGCAGCTCTGGGGTCACGGAGCTCTTACCGCCTGGGGGAACCCTCTGCAAGGGAACCGAACCTCTGTCGTGTCTGACCGTGACCTCGGAACCAGGCCCAGGCGAGGGTCCTGAAGGGCAAGCGCCCGCGACACCGCGAGCCCAACCCCGTCCGTCTGGCCGCCGACCCCGGGGCCCAGCGCTCACGGCACAGGCTGCGGCTGGGCTGTCCTTTCAGCCCCACCCTCACCGGCTGAACCTGTGGGCGCGGCCCAAGGACGACAGGCGACTCGGGAGCAGTCCCCAGGGCTCCCTGACGAGAACGGGGCAGGAGGTGCTGGGCCGGGCCTGCGCTCGGCACTCTGGGCGCTCAGCACGGGCCGGGGTGGCGTGGGCCCGGGCGCAGCCACCGCACAGCACCCTGGACACTGCCCGCGGAGGGGAGCACAGCAGGTCCCCAGGAGCGGCGGGTCCGTTATCACGCTGCTGAGAGGCCAGGGCTTTGCCCTGCGGACGGCGGGAGGCCTCGTGAGACTGCTCGGTCACGTGTCGTTCCGCTGGAGGACGCAGACCCGTGAGGACTTCTCTGCCGTCTCTTGGACTCGCCGGGCGCCTCCAGTCTAGAACGGCCCCTAGCGTGCAGGGAAACATTCCGACGTACTCAATGCACGCTTCTGGGGGACCCTCACAAGCACCACACGAGAATTACCCCTGCCAACGCAGAACGGAGGAGGTCAGGATTCGGACGCGGCGGGAGCCCCGCCCAGAGACCCGCGGCTCACCCACGCGGGGGTGGCTCACCCACGCGGGGCCGAGTCAGACGGGCGTCTGGGGCGAGCGCACGGAAGCAGTCCTCGGACCCGCCCCGCCGAGCAGGTTCCTCCAGCCACCGCCTCTCAGCCCTCAGCCGGGGGAGCTCACCGCCTCTCCATCTTGAGCAATGACGCTCCGAAGGCCCCTCCTTCAGCCCACCTGCACCTGAGCCGCTGCCCAGGGGGCTCCCCGGGCCCCACTCTTCCTCGCCCTACCCTCGCTGACGGGAGCCTCGGCGACACGATCAGGAGTGAATGGGGACACACTGCACCCAGTCCCACGGGGACCAGGGTGCCTCCTCCCCCATTTCCCGAGCTGTAGCCACCGTCCATGACCACCTGCCCCGCCCCTCAGGGCCCCCACATGCACGTCACGGACACTGCGCGTGTGGGGCAGCCTTGCGGGGGGGGGGGGCGCCAGAGCCGCCACCGTGCGGACGGGGCCAGGCCCAGGGAGGGTGGGGGCCGACTCCCGCAGGGACACACACACACGCCGGCGCTCCCTGGGGCCGCGGGGACAAGACTCTCGAGTGGTGCTTCCAAACCCCTTCACAGCTCGTTTTCCCCCCCAGTCTCCACCCCGAGAACGCCGCCAGGCCTCATGGCCACGGCAGCCCACACGGGAAGCCCACCCTGCCCTGGGCACACGGGAGGGAAGGTCAGCAGCCCCCCCGCCCCGGACGCACGGGAAGCAGGACAGCACTCTGCAAAGCAAGCCTCTGTGCGGAGGAGCTCGCCGCCCCCGGGGGGACCCTGTGGGCTGCCGATGTGCCCCAAGCCCCCGTCCCACACACA